AGAAATGGCTTATCTTGCTGGGTCGCTCTTTGGCGTCGGTTCGGACACGACTGCTGTTGCGATTATGGTTGTCGTCATGGCTTCTGCATGCTATCCCAAGGCTCAGGAGAAAGTGCAAGAAGAACTGGACGTCGTCATTAGTCGTGACAGAGGTAAGTCGAATATCGTTATTCATCTGAGTGAAATCTCAACTTTGTTACAGCTCCCACATTCGACGACTACAACTCCCCCCGCAGATGAAGCGTTCATGCTGGAGTGTCTTCGCTGGAGACCCATGACGACTCTCGGATTCACACACCGTGCGCTGACTGATATCCCATACATACGTTTTTCAGTGCTCTGTCATGTTTTTTTGTTCTAACTGCCTGAGCAGAAGAATACGTGTATCCCAGAAGGTGCTATCGTCTTTGGCAACCACTGGTACGACTAACATCCATTCTATGCGATATTGTACTGATCACCTTTCAACAGGGCAATCTCCCGTGACCCAAGCGTCTACCCCAACCCTGACCAGTTCGATCCTCAGAGGTGGCTCAACACCGACGGCAAAATCCGGGACGACCTCAAGTTCCCTTCATTCGGTTTTGGACGCAGGTACTTGTCCCTGATATTAAACCCAGTTGCCTACATACTAAAATGTGACGTGCAACATGCAGAATCTGCCCAGGACAACATATAGCAAACCGCTCGATCTTCATTAACGCTGCGCTCCTCTTGTGGTCTTTCAAGATCACGCAGGACCCTGAGAACCCAATTGATGAGTCGGGTTTTGTGGATGGTGTTATTGTGCATCCTAAGCCGTTTGCTGCGTGTTTTGAACCGAGGTTTGGGAATGAGGCGGCATTGAGGGGGGTGATGGGGAAGTATGGCGAGGGATTGTAGGTTCTTGATCTTGAGCGCGGTTTATTGTGAGCTTGGGATGTAATACTTTCGTTGGTATTTTGGTGCGAGCGGCTCTTCGGCTTAATACTGAAATCATATTCATTTTGGTGTCTGTGGTAGATGCGACATGGAGTATGGTCTTTGTAGAATCAGTTCGAGACAATGCGACAGCACTAGGTGAGGCTGATGGAGATAAAAGCATCAGTATTGCGTGCGTCAAGCATTCCACTCTGAATCTCTCTGACAGTACCTTTTCATCGCGGCAGGAAGCCCAGCAAACCTCGTCTGTATTATGAACTACTACTATTGGTTTGGTCTCGGGTACAACAGGAAGCGAGGCTACTATTGTGATGTCAAGGTTCATACCCTTTGCCCTACTGGCAATCAAGCACATAAGCAGCATCGGCCACACTGCGGACACTTGACAGCTGGGCGCTGGTTGGGGTTGAAAAAATGGTCCCTTGGCTCTGCAGGGTCATCATTCGAGGAGATAAGATACTTGACTATTGTCATGTTTGGTGAATTCAGTGCTCCACCCGCCCCACTCACAAATCCTTCTCAAGGGCCACCGCCTTTCTATATGCAAATATTGGCAGCCCCCCCGACGAAACGAGTGAGTGCCATAAGGAGCAGGGTCATATTTATGTCGAGAAGGTTGTTTCGAAACAGCTCTAAGAACTGTTCTGAAGACTAGAAGGGCACCTTTAGCTGTTTTCATCGAGAGTACACATTAATTACACACCATAGGGTTATTTGCCACTGCTATCCGGTCAACCAGATGCCATTTTTCGGAAAACATAGCCCCGTCGTTATCTGGGACTCATCAAACCAAGCGGCAAGTGCTCTCGTAGGACAGAGATGGGCTTCATTAGATGAGAGGGTCCAGAGATGAAAGGGTTTAATATCTAAAATCATATATCTCAATCACAGCTCGCAATTTAAATACAGATTGAACACAGACCTCCATTTTGGTGGGTCTTGCGAAAGGGGAGGTACAACACAACCTGATTGTTTGCCACACGAAGAATCATGAACCTGTATCTTGAGGACCTCATCAAACCGCAACATACATAAGAAATGCCACTGTATATGCAGCATGCAGAAGCCTTCGGACCCGCCCACCACCCCAGTTGTCCAGGCTGTCAGAAGTACGAGAGCCTCCTGCAGGTTTTCGCTCGCCAGGTTGATACGGCTGGACAGTCCAGTTCTCAGGAAGGCGGTTGTGGTGGTACAATTTGAGTAATATCTCCTGCAGGAGTTGTAAAATTTTCACCAGTGAAATATTAAAATATTCAACGTGACTCACCGATGTTATAGCACGAGCACTGTTTGCAACTTCACCAGCTTGAACCTAGCACAGTTTGATCAGCCTCAAATCAGCCAAAATCACAAAGCACTACCTTGCGTCTCCGCAGCGAACACATGAAAGATGAAACTTCAACCGAGATTGAGGGGTTGCCAACCATGGTGGCACCAACATCGGATTCATGCCATGGCATGTTTCCGAGACCCTTCAGCTTACCGAAGCCATAGGTCATTGAGGCTCGCATTTTCTGAGCATGTCCATATGTCCCCCGTTCCTGGGAACACAGCTTTGTGGTGCCGTCAAGATTAATGGAGTCGCAGCTTCCATGAAATGTCAGCATCAGAACGACAGATCGGCTCCAAGCGGCACTCACGCGTTCATAATCCAGGCTACAATTACCAAAGGAGCATCAGCCCGTGGTCTCTTGCTGAAGAATTCCTCATCCGGCCCCAGAAGGCGGATCCTGATAGCAAATGAGACACATGAATTCATTAACCTGCAAAGAGCATAAGTGACCCGTCAGGTGAGTTGCTGAAAAGCATCCACCTTTTGTATTCAGCATCCGTGCCATCTGTGACACCCTTGGAAGCCTCCATGAGCGTCATCTGCAATTTAACAAAATCAGGAGTATCAATTGACCCAGTATTCGCCGTTTTCAGACCAGCGCCGGGCTCAATTATAGTTTCTTGTTCCGCTGCAACATCCTCTTCAATTTCATCTATCTCGAGGCCAGTAGCAGACCCTGAAAGCACCCCGCATAAACCAGGAAAACATTGCATGGAGTCAACCGTCGCAGCCATAGGTTGATAGAAAACTTTGTTGTCAGGGCTTGGACTGAGTAAAATGTGGTGTTAGTTCAACTTTGGTGGGCCGCCGGCTGAGTCATGGCAACAAGTTGCATGTCTGTTGACCATTAGGCACTGATACTCGTATTACTGGTTCCCATTCTCGTAAAATTTGTACTGCGCAAAAGAAAAATCCTATCTATAACACCTTCACACCAAACCTTTGCCTGTCAACTCGGTGTACCTTTTTGCAATAGCGGATGGCTTGGTCATGACATACTCTCTGCCTCCCCTCCGGTAAGTAAAATGAGCATCGAATGCAGGACCAAACTCCTCATGTGCCTGTTGCACGATGCGGGAGTGGGCCGCCTTGCGTGCATCACGCAGCTTCTGAACGATAGTGGTAAAGGTCGCATGTTCTCCATCAACACTGAATTTGGCCCAGAACTCCTCTGGGCTGCTCTGACGATAGCACTCGACGATGTCCTGGATGCCCAGAGAAGAGGAAGGTCAGTCAGATGCAGTGGAACAACTCAATTTTGCACCCACACGCCAGTCTGTCCACTTATTCTTCGTCCCCTTCCACTGCTGGTCTCTGCCGTAGCGATAGAGTACAGGCCAGTGCTCGATTGCAATTGGGTGGCCCTGGATGACAATGATTGATATACCCCGCCAGTGCTCAGTGTGGTCATCCCACATCTCGTTGAGGCTTGAGATATCATTTGCGAAGCTGATGGCAGGGGGATCAGGAATATCGCCGTCATCCAGTTGTAGCGTAGTGCCATCTCCGAGCTTGAGCACTCGAGCCTTGTTTGTGTCGGGCTTCGCTGGTGTTGGGGCTTCTCTCACCATGCTGTGTCCTGACGTGATGGCATCAGTGGAGCGAGGAGCTACTGCCCTGTGTTCCTCGGCACCTAGTATATGCGGGGATGCAGCAGCACCCGGTTGAAGGAGGGCATCTTGCACGAGGCTGATAAGCCTCGTGCTTGCATTTTGGATGATGGTGTCCTGCAACTATCCACCTGTCAGCATGTCATATCATAGTAAGTGGGAGACACAGCACCGAGCAAGCTCACCTCATTGATGTAGCTGGCAGAGTGCGCACTTGTACCAGTAGGCATCCCACCCATAGGATAATGACTAGGTTCAGCATCGGCAACTGGAGCCATGCCGTCTGTTGTCTGGTATGGATACTCCATGCAGATCATCTTGGCCTGTGAGGCCAACGTTCAACCAGTCCAACACGACAGAGATAAATCAAAAAAGAGGAGGAAAGAAACAGCAGCTCACCCACGGCAGCAGTGCGGCAACCTCGGCTGAGGTGCGTGCATCTTTTGATCGATCAGTGATGGTCGTGGTTCCGTTGATAGTGTTGGCGCCTGGAACGAGTTGTGCACGACGCTGTGTAGACTTTTTGGTACGGCTTGTCCTAGGCTTGTCCGTGGGCCTCTTCACTCGAGGTCCCTTATGAGACCTGTGGGCACCTGGGTGGGCGCTCCAGTAACAGTTCAGCTCCCAGTTGAATTGAGTGAAAAAAGTCACGTACCTGTTCCATGAGTCAGGATTGTGGCTGAATGCCTCCAGTCGTTCGACTAGCACGGTCTTGTTGCCTGTCTGAGAGAGGTTGAACTCGATGCAGTGCTGCTTCAGCACTTTTGCAGTCATGCTGTAGCTGCGGTACCATAATGAGTGTCGCGAGGAACCAGGCGAACGACACATTAAAACTTACATGCGGAGGTATTGAACTGATGGCCCTCCATCCTGCCTGAATCGCAGTGGGAAGGGAAGGGACTGCTCGTCAGAGGAGACTGATAGACTGCTGCTCCGAGGGCTGCCTTGAGTTTTGCTGGGCTGAGACATGCTTGGTGTTTGGTCATGAGTACCGGCTTCAGCGCTCCAGAATGCCTCGTCACCATCTGAGATGGGACGTGATCCAGAAGTGTTGACAGTGTTCATCTTCACGAAGCTAGGGACGTTGTTGATGCCTCTTTTGTCACCGTTGCTGAGGAAGGCCTGCGCAATGCAGGATCTCCACCAGGGATATGTTCCGATGAGAACGACGAAAGCTGACACACCAAAGACGACGGCAAGAGAGCTGGTGTCGTTGAGTCCGCCGTCCGGTGCTAGTGCATCAGGGGTGCTCGGGTCTGCACCCGAGCTGGAACCGTTCGAGAGAGTGACGAGTGAGCTGAAGGGGTTGGGCTGTGGGCGCTGGAGCACTGTGTCGTCGATGATGGAGGCAAGCACATGCTCCGCGACGTGCTTGGCAGCAAGCAATGGGATCTGGGGGACGGGCACGTCAGCATTGCAAACGCTATACTCACTTTCCGAGCGCATCTGGCAACCGACAAGAGACCGTCCGTGCTTAAGTCAGCATGCCTGGGACGGCGTTCGCCGAACTGTCACACCCAAAACAGGACGGTGATTCTTTCGAGAGAAGTATAGCTGCCGACACGAAAAACCACGGTCCAGTCACGGACGGTCACGAAGTGACGGACAGTGACCGATCGTCACTGTCGTAAGTTTGACAAATCGTCTCCGATCGGCGCTGGACGAGACACCCGACACCCCTCAGCTAGAAGCTGGAAGGCATGCGAATTCAACGAGGAGCGGGGAGTTGGGCACGATGTCGTCCCGACGCTGCCAAACGTCTCTTTTCTGGTTCATCGCAGTGATGCGGCCCTCACGTCACGGGCGTCTGCACTCGAGAAGTGCGGAGGAAGTATATAGGTCTGGGTAGTCCACTCACCGAGGGCATGGAGTTTGGTTTGGATCTGGAAGGAGTGTGGAATCTCGAATGGGAGCGCAAGTCCTCAAAATGAGAGACGGTTTGAGAGATGGTTTGGAATTGAAGATGTGTGCTGACTAGTACATGCAGGAATCCAGGCCTTGCTCCATTGCCGGCATCAAGCTACTACTGCGCCCGCATTGAGTTTGCGGAGGTGTCATGCGGTTCCGAGGATGGGTCCGTGATGTCACGCCATTTGGGAGGGTCTTTTTTCGCCCAAGAAACCTCTAGTGGACGTGCAGGATTCCCTGCAAAAACCAAGGTACCCACGCTCATATCCACCATCCTGCAAAGAAAAAGACCATCCTGGTGTGCTAAAGACGGTTGCACGCGCGCTAAAGACGATCCCACGTCTGATATATCAAATGTGGTGCTTGCTGGTTTAGCATCTACTAGCATGGGACGGCCCCAGGCATAGACAACTGCGTGCTCGAGAGGTAAGTGACACATTCATCTTTTCATGTGTCTAATTGACTGTTAGTACAGGTGCTATATTATCAAAACTCGCTGTTGTCCTCCCAACATCTCACCCTCAACCGTCCATGAACCCCCAGCGCTGGTGTAAACAGCTCAACTACGTCTGACTAGCACTCGCTAAGGGACACATTCATCTTTTCATGCGTTTAAGTGACTATTAGTACAGGCGCTAGATTACAAAACACACTGTTCTTGCAAGACGCTGAAATCACCGTATTCCCCCACCATATTTCAGTCACCAGCCGCATTCTTGTTGCTCATTGCGACCAAACACCGCATCCCTCCTTTGAAGGCAAACATAGGTAAACAAATGCGCATTGTTTAGGGGCAGCACGCTAACTTGTTCCTGTGCACATCTGGGTACTAGCTCAGATACACCAGCGCGCAGCAATAAACTAGAGGGTTTACTTGTCATCATGGGTATAAACGGCCTGTGGGAGGTATGTGCACCTGCCGCTTGCCGGATTTCAAACCTCAGTCGCTTTACAGTTACTCGAGCCTGCTGCAAAAACGGTACCTGTCATCTCTCTTGCCCTCCAGGGCCGCTACATAGGACCCGCCCCTCACCTGCCCTATGTGGTGGGGGTTGATGCAAGGTTAGCATTTGGATATCAGCGGCCATGTCCACATTTGACACTAAATGTCTACTACGATCCAGCGGATGGTTCGAACAGTGCCAACAAGGCAAGTGGCACCGAGCACATGCTCAGACTGGGCAGAATCCCGCCCTTCGAACATTTCTATTCCGACTTGCCCGACTTGCCCGGTATCCACTGCAGCTTATCTTCTGCTATGACGGTGACCAGCGGCCTGGTGTTAAACGAGGACATAGGGTGTCTTCAAATGAACACTGGATGGTGAAGCCAACACAGCGCATCCTGGATGCTTTCAACACTCAGTGGATTACGGTGCGTTTAATTTCGCCACCTCTATCCTTATTATTCAAGCCTGGTATCCAGGCTGCGGGGGAAGCTGAGGCGCAGCTGGCCTTGATGAATAGGGCTGGCGTCATCAATGCGGTCATGACAGATGACTGTGATATCTTCGTGTTTGGTGCCCAAACCGTCCTTCGAAAGTAGGTGCTGCCTTTCTTCCACATCTGTGTCCTCCTGACCCTGTCCTCCTGCCTTAGCTCGACATTTTTGTCCGACACCATCAAGATATATACCATCGGCACCATCCGGGAGCAAGTTGACCCTTCTCTTACTGGTGACGCTTTCATTACCATTGCTATTTGCTGTGGGGGTGATTATGATAAGGTAAGCCTTCAGCCGCCATTCTGCGAACATTGATTCTCACTGACATCTGTCTCAGAATGGTCTTCCAGGGTGCGGACGTGAGACCGCACTTGGTCTGGCCCGCTGCATGGACAATAGTATGCTATGCAGTGCTATGCACGGTGGCAACCAGGACCGGTCCCTCCAGCAATGGCGGAACATCGCTGAATATCACCTTGCGAGTGATCCAACTGGAAAGATGGGCCGATTGCATCCAGCCCTCGCTCGCTCACTCTCTGATTCCTTCCCTAATCCGGGCATCATTAATTTATATGCACGCCCCACAGTAACTCCACTCACTGAGCTGCCCAAACTGCGAACCCCGGCCCCACCTAACCTCACTTCACTTGCGTCTCTTATTCAGCAGCTCCTGGGCTGGGACTCAAAGAAGCTTCTCGGCACTTTCCGCACTACCATTTGGCCTGTTGCCATCTTGCACGAGCTTCTGGAGGACCTTGCGAATAATTCGCCTATGAGCAATGAGGTCTGTGGACCGTGTTGCTCTATCTGAACATATACTGACAAGATGCAGATCGAGCTTGGCTCGGGCTGCACGAGGGCTGTCTTTCTCAGCCGTGCATCACGCCCGAAGAAGGCACTTGCAGGATTTTTGGGGCACAACAGTGATGTACCCACTGATACGCTGAAGCAAGCCACACTCCGGCTGCTTGAGGGGTCAGCTGAAGGCTGTCAGGATGACTCACATAAGTATGTTCGAGTATGGCTCGCTGACCAAATCTATGACTGCTGGGTGCGGACCATGTTCCTGTCGTCTTCAGGTGATCCCCAAATTGAGGTATGTCTATCAACAACACCATCATCATTCACGCTGACAAATGGATAGACTAATTCACTGTCGACATCATGCGTGGTCCATGGGTCATCTGCAGGTGCGGCCTCCGCAGCTGCTGCCTCTTCTGCGAGCGTCATCGACCTCACACAAGATGAAGATGAAGCAGTGCCCGCAGACGGTGTTATAATTGATCTCACAGGTGATGATGATGATCGTGAATTGATTGATCTCACTCTTTGATACAAATCTTGACATACTGTACTTGTATCTCGTCCGAAGCTTTGTGTCCATCACATATACTGGATGCGCCTCAATTGACCAGAAGTTTCAATTGTTCCAGCAAGTTGGATATCTCCACTGTGAACGCCGCGGTGGATCAGGACATCGATATTTGTCAATTTGTCATACGAGTTGCGTCTCATGACAACTGGCTGAGCTGTCCCAAAGCCGCACTAACTGTCAGTCCATCACCCTTGAATAGGCTTGGTCTCCCATCAGCACTGGTCAGCGTCAAGCGCCTGTCAGCCTCGTCCGACATAAAACTCAGCTGCTGCACCATGCGGTCAGTACCTTTCATTCCTCCGTCCTCTCTCTTGTACTAAGTTTTACTGTATTTGCCCTTATAAACTATTAGAGGATGTTCGACTTGACATTTGGGTTCAAGGCCCTAGGAGCATTAGTCGCTGTCATTCTCGCCGACAAGCTCCTCCGCGCTAAGATACGCTCAAAGTCACGCCTGCCTCTTCCTCCTGGTCCTCCTGGAAATTGGCTATTCGGAACTCCTCTGCCAAGAACTAAGTGAGTACATAAAATACGAAACTCTATGTGGACACTAACGGGAAACACATCATAGTCAATCTCAGCAGTTTGCAGAATGGATCAATACCTATGGACCCATCATCTCGCTTCGGATCGGGCCTAAGATCATGGTCATCATTGGCAGATACCAGGTAAGATGGTTCCAATACTGGTCACCAAGTACATACTCACCTGCACAGGAATCTGTCGATATAATGGAGAAAGAAGGTAGTCTACTAGCCGACCGTCCTCGTGCAGTTGCGGCAGGAGAGATATTGTCGCGCGGGCTGCATTTGATCCTTGCACCCGCAGGAGAGCAGTTCCACAGACTTCGCAGGTTGGGTTGAGATCTCCTCTTAACGACCTATTTTACTGAAATTATGTGATTCAGAGCGGCTCATACTCACCTTCAAGCGAAAGCTGCAGAATCCTATGTGCCAATCCAGATGAATGCTGCCCGTAATGTCATCCTCGATATCCTTAATAACCCTAAAGGACACCAAGCAGCTGCGAATCGGTATGTTGCACTCAATGTGTTGTTTTATGATCACTTATGCATTCAACTCAAGCTACACCGCCTCCATCATCTTGCGTGTCACGTATGGCAAGTCGACCCCCCGAGATCATCGTCATCCAGAAAATGCTCAAGCGCTTCCAGATGCTCATGCGACCTGGTGCATTACTGGTAGAGCGCTACCCGATATTAAAATACGTTCCGGGATATGGAACCGAGTTGGAGCAGTGGAGAAGGGAAGAGAGTCAGCTCTTCCATGACCAGCTTGATCGTGTTTTGAGAGAATTGGTTGGTTGGTTCCACTTCTTTCCTCATCAGTACCTGACTGTTCTTCATAGGCGACCAGCAAAGCTGGTCCCTCGTTTGCTCGCTATCTTCTTGAGAACCAGTCTTCGCACAAGCTCTCGGACGAAGAAATGGCTTATCTTGCTGGGTCGCTCTTTGGCGTCGGTTCGGACACGACTGCTGTTGCGATTATGGTTGTCGTCATGGCTTCTGCATGCTATCCCAAGGCTCAGGAGAAAGTGCAAGAAGAACTGGACGTCGTCATTAGTCGTGACAGAGGTAAGTCGAATATCGTTATTCATCTGAGTGAAATCTCAACTTTGTTACAGCTCCCACATTCGACGACTACAACTCCCTCCCGCAGATTGAAGCGTTCATGCTGGAGTGTCTTCGCTGGAGACCCATGACGACTCTCGGATTCACACACCTGTGCGCTGACTGATATCCCATACATACGTTTTTCAGTGCTCTGTCATGTTTTTTTGTTCTAACTGCCTGAGCAGAAGAATACGTGTATCCCAGAAGGTGCTATCGTCTTTGGCAACCACTGGTACGACTAACATCCATTCTATGCGATATTGTACTGATCACCTTTCAACAGGGCAATCTCCCGTGACCCAAGTGTCTACCCCAACCCTGACCAGTTCGATCCTCAGAGGTGGCTCAACACCGACGGCAAAATCCGGGACGACCTCAAGTTCCCTTCATTCGGTTTTGGACGCAGGTACTTGTCCCTGATATTAAACCCAGTTGCCTACATACTAAAATGTGACGTGCAACATGCAGAATCTGCCCAGGACAACATATAGCAAACCGCTCGATCTTCATTAACGCTGCGCTCCTCTTGTGGTCTTTCAAGATCACGCAGGACCCTGAGAACCCAATTGATGAGTCGGGTTTTGTGGATGGTGTTATTGTGCATCCTAAGCCGTTTGCTGCGTGTTTTGAACCGAGGTTTGGGAATGAGGCGGCATTGAGGGGGGTGATGGGGAAGTATGGCGAGGGATTGTAGGTTCTTGATCTTGAGCGCGGTTTATTGTGAGCTTGGGATGTAATACTTTCGTTGGTATTTTGGTGCGAGCGGCTCTTCGGCTTAATACTGAAATCATATTCATTTTGGTGTCTGTGGTAGATGCGACATGGAGTATGGTCTTTGTAGAATCAGTTCGAGACAATGCGACAGCACTAGGTGAGGCTGATGGAGATAAAAGCATCAGTATTGCGTGCGTCAAGCATTCCACTCTGAATCTCTCTGACAGTACCTTTTCATCGCGGCAGGAAGCCCAGCAAACCTCGTCTGTATTATGAACTACTACTATTGGTTTGGTCTCGGGTACAACAGGAAGCGAGGCTACTATTGTGATGTCAAGGTTCATACCCTTTGCCCTACTGCAATCAAGCACATAAGCAGCATCGGCCACACTGCGGACACTTGACAGCTGGGCGCTGGTTGGGGTTGAAAAAATGGTCCCTTGGCTCTGCAGGGTCATCATTCGAGGAGATAAGATACTTGACTATTGTCATGTTGGTGAATTCAGTGCTCCACCCGCCCCACTCACAAATCCTTCTCAAGGGCCACCGCCTTTCTATATGCAAATATTGGCAGCCCCCCCGACGAAACGAGTGAGTGCCATAAGGAGCAGGGTCAATATTTATGTCGAGAAGGTTGTTTCGAAACAGCTCTAAGAACTGTTCTGAAGACTAGAAGGGCACCTTTAGCTGTTTTCATCGAGGTACACATTAATTACACACCATAGGGTTATTTGCCACTGCTATCCGGTCACCAGATGCCATTTTTCGGAAAACATAGCCCGTCGTTATCTGGGACTCATCAAACCAAGCGGCAAGTGCTCTCGTAGGACAGAGATGGGCTTCATTAGATGAGAGGGTCCAGAGATGAAAGGGTTTAATATCTAAAATCATATATCTCAATCACAGCTCGCAATTTAAATACAGATTGAACACAGACCTCCATTTTGGTGGGTCTTGCGAAAGGGGAGGTACAACACAACCTGATTGTTTGCCACACGAAGATCATGAACCTGTATCTTGAGGACCTCATCAAACCGCAACATACATAAGAATGCCACTGTATATGCAGCATGCAGAAGCCTTCGGACCCGCCCACCACCCCAGTTGTCCAGGCTGTCAGAAGTACGAGAGCCTCCTGCAGGTTTTCGCTCGCCAGGTTGATACGGCTGGACAGTCCAGTTCTCAGGAAGGCGGTTGTGGTGGTACAATTTGAGTAATATCTCCTGCAGGAGTTGTAAAATTTTCACCAGTGAAATATTAAAATATTCAACGTGACTCACCGATGTTATAGCACGAGCACTGTTTGCAACTTCACCAGCTTGAACCTAGCACAGTTTGATCAGCCTCAAATCAGCCAAAATCACAAAGCACTACCTTGCGTCTCCGCAGCGAACACATGAAAGATGAAACTTCAACCGAGATTGAGGGGTTGCCAACCATGGTGGCACCAACATCGGATTCATGCCATGGCATGTTTCCGAGACCCTTCAGCTTACCGAAGCCATAGGTCATTGAGGCTCGCATTTTCTGAGCATGTCCATATGTCCCCCGTTCCTGGGAACACAGCTTTGTGGTGCCGTCAAGATTAATGGAGTCGCAGCTTCCATGAAATGTCAGCATCAGAACGACAGATCGGCTCCAAGCGGCACTCACGCGTTCATAATCCAGGCTACAATTACCAAAGGAGCATCAGCCCGTGGTCTCTTGCTGAAGAATTCCTCATCCGGCCCCAGAAGGCGGATCCTGATAGCAAATGAGACACATGAATTCATTAACCTGCAAAGAGCATAAGTGACCCGTCAGGTGAGTTGCTGAAAAGCATCCACCTTTTGTATTCAGCATCCGTGCCATCTGTGACACCCTTGGAAGCCTCCATGAGCGTCATCTGCAATTTAACAAAATCAGGAGTATCAATTGACCCAGTATTCGCCGTTTTCAGACCAGCGCCGGGCTCAATTATAGTTTCTTGTTCCGCTGCAACATCCTCTTCAATTTCATCTATCTCGAGGCCAGTAGCAGACCCTGAAAGCACCCCGCATAAACCAGGAAAACATTGCATGGAGTCAACCGTCGCAGCCATAGGTTGATAGAAAACTTTGTTGTCAGGGCTTGGACTGAGTAAAATGTGGTGTTAGTTCAACTTTGGTGGGCCGCCGGCTGAGTCATGGCAACAAGTTGCATGTCTGTTGACCATTAGGCACTGATACTCGTATTACTGGTTCCCATTCTCGTAAAATTTGTACTGCGCAAAAGAAAAATCCTATCTATAACACCTTCACACCAAACCTTTGCCTGTCAACTCGGTGTACCTTTTTGCAATAGCGGATGGCTTGGTCATGACATACTCTCTGCCTCCCCTCCGGTAAGTAAAATGAGCATCGAATGCAGGACCAAACTCCTCATGTGCCTGTTGCACGATGCGGGAGTGGGCCGCCTTGCGTGCATCACGCAGCTTCTGAACGATAGTGGTAAAGGTCGCATGTTCTCCATCAACACTGAATTTGGCCCAGAACTCCTCTGGGCTGCTCTGACGATAGCACTCGACGATGTCCTGGATGCCCAGAGAAGAGGAAGGTCAGTCAGATGCAGTGGAACAACTCAATTTTGCACCCACACGCCAGTCTGTCCACTTATTCTTCGTCCCCTTCCACTGCTGGTCTCTGCCGTAGCGATAGAGTACAGGCCAGTGCTCGATTGCAATTGGGTGGCCCTGGATGACAATGATTGATATACCCCGCCAGTGCTCAGTGTGGTCATCCCACATCTCGTTGAGGCTTGAGATATCATTTGCGAAGCTGATGGCAGGGGGATCAGGAATATCGCCGTCATCCAGTTGTAGCGTAGTGCCATCTCCGAGCTTGAGCACTCGAGCCTTGTTTGTGTCGGGCTTCGCTGGTGTTGGGGCTTCTCTCACCATGCTGTGTCCTGACGTGATGGCATCAGTGGAGCGAGGAGCTACTGCCCTGTGTTCCTCGGCACCTAGTATATGCGGGGATGCAGCAGCACCCGGTTGAAGGAGGGCATCTTGCACGAGGCTGATAAGCCTCGTGCTTGCATTTTGGATGATGGTGTCCTGCAACTATCCACCTGTCAGCATGTCATATCATAGTAAGTGGGAGACACAGCACCGAGCAAGCTCACCTCATTGATGTAGCTGGCAGAGTGCGCACTTGTACCAGTAGGCATCCCACCCATAGGATAATGACTAGGTTCAGCATCGGCAACTGGAGCCATGCCGTCTGTTGTCTGGTATGGATACTCCATGCAGATCATCTTGGCCTGTGAGGCCAACGTTCAACCAGTCCAACACGACAGAGATAAATCAAAAAAGAGGAGGAAAGAAACAGCAGCTCACCCACGGCAGCAGTGCGGCAACCTCGGCTGAGGTGCGTGCATCTTTTGATCGATCAGTGATGGTCGTGGTTCCGTTGATAGTGTTGGCGCCTGGAACGAGTTGTGCACGACGCTGTGTAGACTTTTTGGTACGGCTTGTCCTAGGCTTGTCCGTGGGCCTCTTCACTCGAGGTCCCTTATGAGACCTGTGGGCACCTGGGTGGGCGCTCCAGTAACAGTTCAGCTCCCAGTTGAATTGAGTGAAAAAAGTCACGTACCTGTTCCATGAGTCAGGATTGTGGCTGAATGCCTCCAGTCGTTCGACTAGCACGGTCTTGTTGCCTGTCTGAGAGAGGTTGAACTCGATGCAGTGCTGCTTCAGCACTTTTGCAGTCATGCTGTAGCTGCGGTACCATAATGAGTGTCGCGAGGAACCAGGCGAACGACACATTAAAACTTACATGCGGAGGTATTGAACTGATGGCCCTCCATCCTGCCTGAATCGCAGTGGGAAGGGAAGGGACTGCTCGTCAGAGGAGACTGATAGACTGCTGCTCCGAGGGCTGCCTTGAGTTTTGCTGGGCTGAGACATGCTTGGTGTTTGGTCATGAGTACCGGCTTCAGCGCTCCAGAATGCCTCGTCACCATCTGAGATGGGACGTGATCCAGAAGTGTTGACAGTGTTCATCTTCACGAAGCTAGGGACGTTGTTGATGCCTCTTTTGTCACCGTTGCTGAGGAAGGCCTGCGCAATGCAGGATCTCCACCAGGGATATGTTCCGATGAGAACGACGAAAGCTGACACACCAAAGACGACGGCAAGAGAGCTGGTGTTGTTGAGTCCGCCGTCCGGTGCTAGTGCATCAGGGGTGCTCGGGTCTGCACCCGAGCTGGAACCGTTCGAGAGAGTGACGAGTGAGCTGAAGGGGTTGGGCTGTGGGCGCTGGAGCACTGTGTCGTCGATGATGGAGGCAAGCACATGCTCCGCGACGTGCTTGGCAGCAAGCAATGGGATCTGGGGGACGGGCACGTCAGCATTGCAAACGCTATACTCACTTTCCGAGCGCATCTGGCAACCGACAAGAGACCGTCCGTGCTTAAGTCAGCATGCCTGGGACGGCGTTCGCCGAACTGTCACACCCCAAACAGGACGGTGATTCTTTCGAGAGAAGTGACCTGCGCAACAACCACACAATGAGTATACTCCTGTTATGTCACATCGCCTAATATAACCGTCTGAACTTTGCAAGTCTTTGCAACGCACAAGGTTTATCAAAAATCGATGCGGTACATGTGTACGCTATGCAATGCATCGAATTTATATTACAACTCAACACCGGGGCATCCAAGCACTCATAATTGAAGTGTGTCAAACTGTGCACAATACATGCATACGCCACCTCGTGGTATAGATACTGGCTTCGTCATGATATCAGATGGCGTTGGGGCCCTCATGCAGCCTTGGCAAACCCAACAGCGTCCCGACCGAGGTCGTAAACTGTGTAGTATCGGCGGAGGAACACATCACCTAAAGGCACTTATCAAAAGGAAGTTCGTGGCCAAAAATAGATCACATACCGATAATCCACAGTGAACCCCAAGGTAGGTTGATATCCATACCGGTGAATGAGGAAATGCACGTGCCCTGGACTTCCAAGACGTAGTCGCTTCCCTTGAGTGGGTAGGGCTTGCCGCCGAAATAGAACGTCATTTCAGGAAGGGATGGGACTTTAGAACAGTCGACTTGGTATTGACCGTTCCATGACTTGGTGGCGCCAATTTGGGCGTTGAGCATTTCGGCGATGTCGGTGGGGAGTGCGATTAGGGAGGTGCCTGTATGCAATCTGGTGAGGAACTGGAATTTGTCGGACAGAGAAGGGACTCACCAGTGTCAATAGCGGCACCTGTCATCTCAAGGTCCAGCACATCGTCTCCAAATGCGACCTTCTCAAGCTCAACTTCCCAGTATGCCTTTTGGCGGAGAGGGACATAGGAGATACTACCAGTGTAGGCGGCGTGGTCGACACCACCAAATGTGGCCTCACCACCGTCTTGCTCGGAGTCACCAAGACGGAAGGCGAAGACGGGCTCATCAATAAGACCTTGGTTAACCATGCTGTAGAAAGGAGGAGTGATGTGGTTGACGGAGATGGTATCGTAGGCAAGGCCGAGAATACCGTCAAACCTAGTTGACGCGTTAATTACGGGGTCCCAATACCATGACACGAAATGTACATACTTGCCAAAGGCAAAAGCGAGACCGGGCTCTTTGGTGGCCTCTGCAAAGTCCTGGCCACGGATAGTGATGTCACCGATTGTGAGGACGTCATTGGAGACGAAGCCCTCCATGGAGCCAGAGCCGTACTGGATGGAGAAGTCGGAGCCATTGGCCTTGTATGTAGAAGAAGAACCGGACTGGTACTTGGCATGAAGGAAGCACGCGATAGAAGTGCACTTGGAACTGGGAACCCAGAGGTTACTCGACCTAAGGAATTGTGAGTGTTCGGTCAAAAACAAAAGGGGAAATGCCTACCCAGTGTCAAGAATAACCTTGAATGACTGGGGCGGGTTGCCGAGGGAGATCTCAGTATAATACTGAGCATTCATGAAGTCTGAGAAATGTGAGTAGGTTGGCAAGAGAGGAGAGGGTAGTTACATACTGGTGAGGGGGACATCGTGACCACCGTTGATAATCTCCTGAGTCCAGAAGAGCTCATCTTCTCCTGTTGGTGGACGAATGTGACGACCAGCACCGCCAGCACCGATCAAAGGTAGCTGTTGGTAAGGAGCCTGTGCGCCGTACTTCTCCGCGAGGTAAGCGGTCTCGAGATTATGACCTGGCGAGACTTGTGGGAGTTTGTTAAGCTTTAGTTTGTGTACACCAGCTGAAGCAAAAGGAAGTAGGACGAGGCTGGCGGCGAACGCGGACAACAACATTGTTTCAAGAGAAAGAGACACGAGGGAATTCGCAGCAGCAGTTCAAGTCTTAAATGGGGCTGACGTCTTCCCGGTAAGTAATCCTAATTTGGTCATCGCCGGAGATTATTTCACACGTGGTACTCAACAATCGACGTCGACGACGACAACGACGACGACGAAGATGAGCTTGAGCAACGTAGAATGTCTAGTACTGGCACAAGCTGTTTATGAGTATGGTGCCAATGCCTGGCAACAAGTCTCAAAACTTCTGTCTAAACATCCTCTTATCTCCCGCCCAAAGAACTTCTTTTCCACTAATGTCAGCCCGTTTCTTTTACTATGTATGGACTACTCAGATCAAATTCTTGTAGTCTTGTCGCGATATATACGCTCGCCTGATGAATGAAGCTCAGCTTGAGTGGTGAGGTACTCGTGCTAAACCAAAGTCGTGCATGTCCTCATGAATGTCCATACAGCCCCGAGTCTGATGCGAATACTCCACATGGTAAGCCCTAGTCCCGTGCCACTCCAAAATACTGCTAAACGCGCACATAGCTCTTGTAAACTTGAAGCTTGCTCAGAAATTCTACAGCGCACGCCTCCTAGAGCTGCGTGATTTGATCGCAGCCGAGGAGGTCAAGTTCAAGTGAGTACCTGCCCACCTTCAATTTCTGACGCTAACCTTACCCAGAACCATCGTCGCAGAAATTCAAGATATCCGGGCTGGTAAATGGGACGATAAGATTCGTGCCCAGCTCTCCGGAACAGAAATCGAACCCGAGTCAGAACTCGATTCTGCACAGATAGAAACAGTCGTCGGCGTGCGTATTTTTAGCTTCTTCCTCTTCAGTCTTCAAGCTAACTCTATTGTGCAGGAACCCGAGGTCTCACATGATAGTCAGGAGCAAGAACGTGAAAACACCCCCCAGCCAGAAGAAGAGGAAACCGCTCCTGTGCAAGAACCCGAGAGCACCGAACCTAAATCAGTCCTTGAACCAGTTCCTGTGGAAACAGAACTCCTTCACTCGCCTCAAACCCAAGAGTACGAGCCCGAGAATGATGAGTACCTAGTTGAAGTCGAAGAACCTTCAGCCTCAACCCACGAGGAGGAAGAAGAACAGAATGAATGGGAGCAGCCTACGTCCCCGGACGATGAGGCAAGTGAGATAGAAGCGATACTAACGCCCGCAGCTCCAGAGGGGTCCATTGAGGAAGAAGTTGAAACTAGCGAACAGTCGCCCAAACACGAGGACGAGTCGCCTGTGCACGAGGAAGAGTCGCTTGTGCACGAGGAAGAGTCGCCTATGCACGAGGAAGAGTCGCCTATGCGCGAGGAAGAGACGCTCGAACGTGAAGAGGAGGAGGAGTCCCCCGCACGAGACACAGAACCCTCCCATGCTGAACCACCACAGGAGACATCCATGAATGTCGACGCGGAGGAGCAGGACTTGTCCGTTGATACCGAGACGGGTTCCCAAGGTGCGTTCACACCCACATTCATAAATCGTTCGACTGAATAATTCTTATTGCGTAGGCAAACGCAAGGTGGATGAAGTTGAAGTTGGCGAAGGCGCTGAAGAGCCCGAGAGGAAGCGTTTGCGGGAAGAGAGCTCACCCCCAACACCAGGGGAGGAAGAACAAAGTTAGTGGCCACATAAAGAGTGAATGTTCACTAACCAAAGCGTGCACAGCAACCACACGCCCCCGACGCGACACAACAAGCAGTGATCAGCGCCCCTCCACGCCCCTCCAATCCAATTTATCCGGCTCCATCGCCCAATCCACCACCCAAGCCCAACTTCCCAACAAGCGCTTCCAGTCCGTCATCACCCTGCTACACTCTCAAATCTCACAACACCGAAACGGTAACATCTTCCACAACCCTATAAAACCCTCCGAAGCGCCAGATTACCATGATATCATCAAGCGCCCCATGGACTTGAAGACTATCAAAGCAAGGATTAAAGATGGGGTTATCAGGACCTCGAGGGATTTTCAGAGGGACGTGTATCTGATGTTTGCGAATGCGATGATGTATAATAGGCCGGGGAGTGATATCGCGCTGATGGCGGAAGAGGTAGGTATTTTTATTTTATGAAACTATTTCGGGGGTCACGCTAATGCTGTTGTTGACAGATGATGCTTGAGAGCGAGGGCCATATCAATACGTTCCGGCAGACGGAAGGCTACTTGCGCAACGCTCGTGCATGAACCAGTCTTGGGATAGTTTACATTCATACATCCATGCTTTCGGATGTCAGATACTACACATTGCTACAAGCATTAAGTATGTTACGTCTAATGTACACGTGCATGTATGCAAAGCAATCAACGTCCAGCAAAGCAATCAACGTCCAGCACAGCAGTCAGATAACGAGAGATAAAAGATCATTTAAGACAACATTCGATAACATATAACCTAGAACCATGGATGATACACCTCGCTCATCCTCATCAGCTGCACAGGATTCGTAGCCGTCGAGATCAAGTTAGTCACTGTCTGTGCGACTGGTATACCGCCCATATTCGTGGTCGATTGGGCCTGCATGACGAAACGATCAGAACGCGAACACGCAGACAATTCGCAACCAGACTCACCGCCTCTCGCTCAATTTTACATGCCATGATCTCAGCGCGCTTCACCACACCCTCAATATTCGCCGCACAACTTGTCCTGAACGACAAATCGAACGTCCATGGGTGTCCTTTTCCATGCATCCACGTCATTACCTCATCCCGAGCGAAGAGACAAAGTTGTTGTTCAAGACCAAACTGTGTTGTCCATGTCAGTGAGTTGAAGGTAAAGAGGAAGAAGGACGCACATCGGGCTCGGTAAGACACCTTCCGATAACCATGATGCCTGTCGTCAACAATCCCTCAGTGAACACAGGGCCCAAAAACCTCTGCATATTCGGGGTGAAGCGGAAGGGCACCGCGTCATTGGATGCGAACACAGGCGCCTGACCTGCTAGACCTGCGTTCCCAATCAGTAACTGATTCAACTTCCCTGGGAGACATAAGCATACCAGGCAACATTTCACTCATCGTCATGAGCCCTGTAGACCGAGAGAGATGGAAGCGCGAGGGCGCACGACTAGTGAGACAGAAGACGAAGGTCATGAAGCTCGTCGCAGCAACTTGGAGGGCGAACTGCTTGCGCATACGCCAGAGGTCTGCAGGTGTGGCCATGGCATTTGTCATGTACTAGGCACGAGAACATGAACTACTTCCTACACAAAGACACAGGATAGCTTACTTTGGTCAGAACATCATCTGGAACAAGCTTAGTGCCGATTTCATCCATGATGTCTTTTCGGAGGGTGAAGTATTCCGCCTTGTTTGGCTGTCGCAAGAGTCATAAGAATCACTCCAGGACGAGTTAGGAGCGTACTTACCGCCCGACCACTTTTCTGCTTGAATTCTAGCAGCACGCTTTTGACTTTCTCACCAGAGACAAGTATGGGGTCTTCACGAGATAAACCAGCTTCCTCGCAGTGATGGTCGTATATGTCTCCGAGCGTGACGTACGACGAATCGGTCTGCAGGAGGCGAAGACTGGGGCTACAGGAAATAGCAGCCGGAATATGGAACAGCAAATTTCGCTTGCGAGATTCCTTCCTACGGACCAAAGCACTATAGTAGGAAAGGTCAGTAAGTAAAATGTCAGCTAGAAACGACCTCACCAATTGAAGGTGCGGAACACCTGCGTCAGCCGCTCCTCCCTGCGCCAGTGTCGGCCAGAAGGAAGCTGAACTGAGAACGACGTCCGCGAGTTATCGTTTCCATGTACAGTGAATCTGCGCCAGCAGTATCCATACGACCGACAATTCTCGAACTTGGGTCCGAATTTCTGAATTCGAATGAAGTTCTGATTGCTATCCTTGTCCTATAGCAGAGGGTGAGGTCAACTTTCCTCTCGTTGACGATATCGAGCGGGTAACTCACCTCAGTGTACTGACCCGGAACCTCAATGTCGTCGAATTTGCCGTATTGGAACTCAGTGAGATAGTGACTAAGGAGGTCGAGAGACTGGATGCGTGGTCGGGAGTCGAGATACTTTTCTTGCCGGTCCCTCCATTGCTGAAGTTTCCGGATATATTCGTAATGCGTGAGTTTACTCTTGACGAAGTCTTCTTCGTATTCTCGCTATCACGAGGTCAGTTTTGTTCCCGTTCAAGTAGAAAGAGCGTACCCGAGCCGATCCGGATAAGTTTGCAGCCATCTTGGAAATGTTTTGTATGGTATGTTGCTGGAGCTGCCCGTCATCCTCCGTTGTATTCGTCCGCATCACGTAGTTCTGGAAGTGCATGGTCAACGTCTGTCTGGGAGTGGCCCACGAAGTGCTTACCTGCACAGCATCGAGCAAAAGCATGCAAATCAACCGATAAATCTCTTCTTCAGGAGTAGCCTTAAACCTCTGCAGTATCTGATCCACCATAGTCTCCATGCTCAGAATAAGCAGTGGGAAGGCTGTCTTAAGAATCTGAACGACCTCATCGACATGTTCCCAAGATTGACGAATGACATAAGACGGCTGGGCGTCAGAAGCACCTGGAGCAGCGTTTTGAGCGGAAGGAGGGACAGTGGCGCCTGCGTTTTGTGCAGCAGTAGGAGTTGTCTCTGTGCTGGACTGGGAAGCTTGTAGGGTTTGGGACTCGCCAGCGTCAGTCGATGAATTCTCCTTCTTGATGATCTCTGCTTGGACTTCGGCCGTAGCGTCTTGCATCACTTGGTCGCCGTCAGGACGTCTGTTTGCGTTGGCAGCTAATGCGCTTTGAGCGCGTGCTGCTGCTGTAGCCATAGCCTGCTTCTTAATGAACACCATGTCCTCCCTCGTCGTTCGCAACGGGAAGAACAATGCCTACAACCAATATGAGATCATGACAAGAAGCTAGAATCTTAAAGTGGCTTGAATACCTGGGGGAATAACTTGGCAAGGTTCAACAGGATATATCGCGCTTGCTTGACCTCGCGTTGACTGATAGAAAGACAAAGCTGAGGGATGAGTGATATCCAGTACCAAAACGCTGCCTCGCCCTTGTAAGTGTCGAACGCTCGGGAGATGGTAAAGTTCGCGTCATCTACACTCAACAACCAGAGCACCCGAGTCAGGAGGGGCCGACTCTTTCCGTTCTTGTACTGTCCGGCTGCCTGGAGGTAGCAGCTGACAGCATTGGCGGCGTGCGACATGTCGCTGGGGACCTCCTTGAACATACGATCGCTATACCGTCCCCATTCCGCCCATGCTTTAGCTTGAGACATGTCCATCTGGACTGCTTGGCCGAAGGACTGATTGGCGTCGTCGTTCCTCCCACTTCTCGCGTGAAACATGCCCTTGAGAGTGAAGAATTCGGCTTTCTGGGGGTTAGAGAAGTACATGAGGTTTGTGTTATTGATGACTTCCAGTCCTGCTTGCAGGTCGTTGGGTTTCTGGTAGTGGCAGCGCGCTTGCTCCCGCAGTTTGAGGAAAGCTTCCGATATCTCGATATTCGGCAGGGTGTAAATCTTGTTCAATGAACTGAAGCAGACATCGAGAAGGTCATGCTTCCTCGCCACATGGGCAAAGCGATTGATGATCCAAGCCGTTTCATGATACCCACGGTAGCCTGAGGTATTGAAGTTGCTTGTCGCAGAATTACTGCCTTGGCTGGTATTAGAGATCAGAGGGATGTAGGCCTTGTTGATTGCGTTGAAAACGTTCTGCCTCCAAGCAACCAAGTCACTCCATATGCTGATGTCGTCTTGCAGGTTAGGAAGGCGCTCTCGCCAAGCTTGTAGAACCATCTTGAGATCAGAGGACTTCTTCTCCAGGTTCTGAGCGGTAGTTGTAGAGAGAGAACCAAAGATCTGAACGGCCTCTTGGAGCTCAACAAACTGCTGGAAATGTTGTAACAGCGGAACATGAGCAGCCGACATGTGGAACGGAAGAGCAACCCATTTGCGCAGCGACAGCTGCATTGCATCTTCGAGGATTTTGGTGAATTCGGTGTTCTTTTCCAGAGCACCAGGCACCTTCAGAAGGGCAATGAACGCCTCGAAAACCCGCTTTCGTGGAGTCGCGACGTCAGGTAGCTGATTAATCTGCTCCTCCAGTGATTCTTTCTGATCGGCCCAATCCTTCGTTCGCCACGCACTCTCAAGTAGGAGTTCCTGGTTCCCTTCGCTCTTCGCCAAATCATGCAACGTGTCCCACTGCTGGAGTTTTTCTGCTGCGAGCATCCAGTGGTCCTCCCAAAGGCAATACTCCACTTCGGAAAACGCTATTTGGCCACCCTTCGCCTTCGTCATCGCCCCTTCATAACAGTTGGAGGCAAACTCCCACATGCCATTCTGTTCGAACGAAAGTGCCATGTTCGTCTCGAGGTGGAGGCATCGCCGGCGCCAAAGACCATAGAATACATCTTCCTCTGTTAATTCGGCATAGACGTCTGCGAGCGAATCGTAAACCGTTTCTTTGACAGCAGGATCATCGTCTTTGACAGAATCTAGAGACGTCTCCAAAATCTCCATCCCAACGTGCCATGCGCCGTATGATTTTGCGAGGTATTTCACTAGATAGGGTGGCAGAGTCATAGGTGGCGAGCAGGCGTGAATACCACCCAATAGAGTCTGGATGACATTGGGGCGCAATTCGAGCTGCTTGGCATGGAAGTCCTTGCTCAGGAGGTTGATCATGTGCAGTGTCATGTCCGCCTGTTCTCGACGAGACAGACACGCCCATGCTGCGGGAAAGACCGATACCCAAGTGTCGTGTGCAACTTGAGGGTCAAGGAACGCCAATCTCTGCATGGCACGGATGACGGACGCTGCCTTCTGTAGAGCAACGAAATGGCCATTTGAGGGTCCCATACTGATCCTCCGCTCTGAAATCAATGGCACTTCCCCGTCAACAGCCCCGAGAAGGAGATGAAGTGCGAGATAGATCCAGTTATGATCTGCGAGAGGCTCCCAACTCTGGACTCCTAGGATATATGCTAAACGACCCTGAAGAGACCGAGGGATGCTACTGTCCAGAAGGTCCATAAATCGCTCTCTGAGCACGGGATCCCGAGCACGACACCCAAGGAGGAAACACTGTTCCAGTCGAGACGTCAAATCACTCCTGCGCAATGAAGGCTCTGTGTAGATGTCGTAGATAAGCTCCAGGTAGCTGTGGAATAGCGCATCACCGCGGGTCTCAAAGCCTGCCATCTTCTGCAGCACGCTGACTTTGTCCTTCATTGTTGGATATGCCTCGTTCGTGTGAAGTGCCCAGTCCCGCATAACATCGAGTGAAAAGTGACACAGGGTTTGACTCTTGGATTTCTCTGTGAGCGCAGTG